TTTCCTAGATATTTCCTAGATATTTCCTAGACATTTCCTAGACATTTCCTAGATATTTCCTAGATATTTCCTAGATATTTCCTAGATATTTCCTAGATATTTCCTAGATATTTCCTAGATATTTCCTAGATATTTCCTAGATCTTTACTAGATCTTTCCTAGATCTTTGCTAGATCTTTCCTAGATTATTCCTAGATATTTCTAGATATTTCCTCGATCTTTCTAGATATATCCTAGATATTTCCTAGATCTTTCCTAGATCTTTCCTAGATCTTTCCTAGATCTTTCCTAGATCTTTCCTAGATCTTTCTAGATATTTCCTAGATATTTCCTAGATATTTCCTAGATCTTTCCTAGATCTTTGCTAGATCTTTCCTAGATCTTTCCTAAATCTTTCCTAGATCTTTCCTAGATCTTTCCTAAATCTTTCCTAAATCTTTCCTAGTACTTTCCTAGATATTTCCTAGATATTTCCTAGATATTACCTATTTATTCCTAGATCATTCCTAGATCTTTCCTAGATCTTTCCTAGTACTTTCCGAGATATTTCCTAGATATTTCCTAGATATTTCCTAGATATTTCCTAGATCTTTCCTAAATCTTTCCTAGATCTTTCCTAGATCTTTCCTAAATCTTTCCTAGTACTTTCCTAGATATTTCCTAGATATTACCTATTTATTCCTAGATCTTTCCTAGATCTTTCCTATATCTTTCCTAGTACTTTCCGAGATATTTCCTAGATATTTCCTAGATATTTCCTAGATATTTCCTAGATATTTCCTAGATATTTCCTAGATATTTCCTAGATCTTTGCTAGATCTTTGCTAGATCTTAACTAAATCTTTAATATATATTTCCTAGATCTTTCCTAGACCTTTCCTAGATATTTCCTAGATATTTCTTAGATATTTCCTAGATATTTCCTAGATATTTCCTATTTCCATTTAATGATAATATTGTATTATAGTGGAGATAATCTGCCCAGTGCTCTGCATCTCCCTAAGGTAGAGAATGCTGGTCAGCTGGACTGGTTTGCCGGAGAACTTAACACAGTTCTTACAAAGTAGGTATTTCTAAAACACAGGTTAATTAAGAGGATCAGTAAGGGGGGAAGAGTAGTTAAAAGTTTTGAGTTTTGATATTTTATTCTATTATTATTGATTATAATTATTTTTATGGTTAGTCCGCCTGTGGTGAAGTTGGGACTAATAATGTTTATAGAATCCGCTCAAGCACTACTCAACCTTCAGGAAATATGCAGGTTCATTTTCATAGTTTTCACTTCTGACCTTGCCAAGACGGGGATTACTATTCCATTAATATTGGATAAAATATTTATATTGCTTTTTTTTAACAAAGTTTTATTTCTCAATCTCCTTATAAGAATCGATTACAATGCTTCGCTGTAAGATGAAATAAAATTTAGGATATTCTACGTTACCCATGGATATATAGATTGGACAAGAGTGCCGGCCCCAATTTTATTGACTGGCGGGTTGTCCTTTGATAATAAATGAAATATTTGAAATTTGTTAATTTCCCGGCATTAAAACACTTAAATACTGTTTCTCGTTTGCATAGATATCGTGCAAGGAGAAAACAATATATGGAAGTAAAAATAGGATGTTGGTGCCTTTTTCAAATTCAGGGTGGCCAAAATGTACGGATTGTACGG